GTGCGTGTTTTGCACATCCTCGGCTTGCAAGAATGGTTTGTAGCTTGTGGAGTTTCCTCATATTCCGCTCGTCTGCTTGATTACCCGATTACCCCTACATGACCTACAAGTCTTCCTTTGGGCCTTCATGAGACTCGATTGTAGAAGGGGTTCGACCACGGCTTGTGGACACTAACCCTGTGGTGGTCCTCGCTCCACTTCGGGGGGGGTCCACACCAAGGCTCACGCAGGCCACCAAAGCGGTTGGTCGCTAAACTTTGAAGCAACGCATCAAAGTCGCTGAAGCGTTTGGCCACCTATGGAATGAAGGATCCCACCGGCCCTGCTCACTGTGTTGAATGCATACAGGCTGCTAGTTACTAGGACAGTCCTACCAATGCCATCAAACCAAGTCACTCACGCTGCTTTTTCCAGGTGGGTTTTTCTTTTTGAGCTGTGCAGGCTGTCCTTCCGCGTCCAACCTGCCTGCGTGTGACCTGAACTACTGTAACATATTTTTCCGGAGAGCGTCTGCGAAGGGTTCTTCGTAAAAAACATCTGCAGAACTACGTCTCATCTACATCTTCACATCTTCACCTCTGCACATCCACATTCTCACCTATATCTCTGCTCATCTTCACATCTACACTCACAACTGCACATCTACATCTCTGCTCATCTTCATCTTCACACATCTACATCTCTGCTCATGTTCACATCTGCACATCTACATCTCTGCTCATCTTCACATCCTCACATCTACACCTCTGCTCATCTTCACATCCTCACATCTACATCTCTGCTCATCTTCACATCCTCACATCTACATCTCATCTTTACCTCTCAACTACACATCTCACAGCTTCACCTCTCGCTCTTCTTAACTTTCTCTCTTAAGGCCGGGGGCAGTGCCGCCGGACCGCCACGAAACGCAACCCTCTGCGGAGATCGTGCGTGTCGGATGCGCGAAATGCAGGCGAGAGTGCGATTTGGTCCGGTCCGGCGCAACCCTCTGCGGAGATCGTGCGTGTCGAGTGCGCGAAATGCAGGCGAGAGCGCGATTTGGTTTTGGCGCGGGCAACCCTCTGCGGAGATCGCGCGCGTCGAGGGCGCGAAATGCAGGCGAGAGTGCGATTTGTCCCGGTGGCGGACAACCCTCTGCGGGGATCGTGCGTCGAGTGCGCAAAATGCACGCGAGAGTGCGATTTGTCCCGGTTGCGGACAACCTTCTGCGGGGATCGCGCGTGTCGAGTGCGCGAAATGCAGGCGAGAGTGCGATTTGTTCCGGTCGCGGACAACCCTCTGCGGGGATCGCGCGTGTCGAGCGCGCGAAATGCAGACGAGAGTGCGATTGGCGCGGTCCGTGCGCAACCCTCTGCGGAGATCGCGCGCGTCGAGGGCGCGAAATGCTCGAGAGTGCGTTTTGGCCCGGTCCGGCGCAACCCTTGCGGAGATCGCGCGTGTCGACTTTGTAGTACAACTTTAGTACGCGGAGCAATCTGTGGAGCTGGAAGCTGAGAACTGGCGACTTTGTAGTACAACTTTAGTACGCGGAGTATCTGGGGAGCTGGAAGATGAGAACTGGCGACTTTGTAGTACAACTTTCGTACGCGGAGCAATCTGTGGAGCTGGAAGCTGAGAACTGGCGACTTTGTCAACTGGAGCACGCGGAGTACCTGGGGAGCTGGAAGATGAGAACTGGCGACTTTCTAGTACAACTTTAGTACGCGGATGTGGAACTGGAAGCTGAGAACTGGCGACTTTGCGCTACAACTTTAGCACGCGGAGTATCTGGGGAGCTGGAAGATGAGAACTGGCGAAGTTGTAGTACAACTTTAGTACGCGGAGTGTCTGGGGAGCTGGAAGATGAGAACTGACGACTTTGTTTGTGAAAACGGGTTCCCACACAGCAAGGGGTCAAGATGAAAAAAATAAAAAAACAACAACCTACTCAAAAAAAACTCAGTCCAGAAACTCAGATTCCAAAGCCACTCAAATGAGAGACTCAAATTAGACTCAGATTGGACTCAAATTGGACTCAGGTTGGACTCAAATTGGACTCAGATTGAACTCAAATTGTACTCAAACATGGTTTTTGAGTTGTTTTTGAGTTGTTTTTGAGTTTTGTTTGAGTTGTTTTGAGTTTGTTTTTGAGTTGTTTTTGAGTTTGTTTTGAGTTTTGTTGTTGAGTCTGTTTTGGATTTGAGTTCTTGAGTTGATTATTTTTTGATTATTTTTTGATTATTTTTTGTTTTTTATTTTTTTCAATGATTTCAGCCCTGTGTGGGCACCACGTTATCCTAAGACTTTGTAGCGCAACTTTAGTACGCGGAGCAATCTGTGGAGCTGGAAGCTGAGAACTGGCGACTTTGTAGTACAACTTTAGCACGCGGAGTATCTAAGGAGCTGGAAGATGAGAACTGGCGACTTTCTAGCACAACTTTAGTACGCGGAGTATCTGGGGAGCTGGAAGATGAGAACTGGCGACTTTGTAGTACAACTTTAGTACGCGGAGCAAGCTGTGGAGCTGGAAGCTGAGAACTGGTGATAAATTTTAGCTACTTTGCTTACTCCTAAGTGGCTGCCACAAAAGAGTCATCGTGACGTTAGTATGTGTGTACTTCACCTTCATGACAAACGATGTTCGCTTGGAATACACGAGTCGCTTGTCATGATCGTGACGTCGTTTACTCTCAGGTCGCCCTGTTCGTGGAAACTTCAGTGTGAAATGTACGTTCTTCAGTTCTATTTAAACCTCTTCAGCGTTGTACTTGCACAACTAAGGTTGACGTTGCGCTGCCGTTGCATCGACGCATCTACGTCTACACCCCCTCACCTCTCTACATTTACATCTTCACACGCTCACATCCGCAGATCTACCTCTCCACCTCACCACACCCACACATCTGCACATCTATATCACATCTGTACATCCACACTGTCGCTCCTTCACATCTGTCCTGTTTTTCTTTCTTTCTTTCTACATATCTGTTCTCTCGTCTCTGTGCATTTACATCTTCGCACGCTCACATCCACGGATCTACCTCTCCACCTCCATACATCTACAGATCTATATCGCAGCTGCACATCCACACTGTCACTCCTTCACATCCACTCTCTCTTTCTCTCTTTCTATGCATCTTTTCGACAGTGCTGGACAATTACATGTCTCGCTCTCGGGCCAACCGTCGTCTAGTTGATTTCACAGGCTAATAGCCAAGGCTTTTTCATATTAAGGCTACTCAGTGTTCCTCTGGACTGTAGTCAGAACCATACGTACTTTCCTGACTGTGTGTGTGTGTTCAAAGCCAGGGCATTCATGCGTTTGTTTCAGGTGGAGCTGCGATGGTTGATGGTCTTGAATGCCCTTCTTTTTCGATGCGTGACAGCTGCTTCAAGTTGAGAGTCCAGCCTGATCCTAGCCAACCTCACCTCCACATGACTCCTGCTTCAGGCCTCAAGATTACTGCAAGTGTGTGTGTGTGTGTCCATTGTATGGTTTTTCCTACTGTCCTTTGTGTTGCATCTTTTTGCGAGATGGCAGCTGCAGTGTTCCCACATGCGCCTCCCACGACGCCTCTCCATATTTCAGCTGGATGTGGTACCTGCTGGATGTGGTGGAAACTCCCAGTGCCCGTGGAAAAGAGGGTCTGCAGGATCATCGGATCCATGTTGCTTTCAAATGACCATTGCTCGCGCAAACAAAACAGCGATGACATGGCAAACGTGGCTGGAGGACTGGTAGGTGGAGTGATCCCACGTAGGGCCTGCCTTCCAAGAGCGAGCGTGTTCAGAAACCTCTTGATTCCTGCTTCTACTTTTCGCCATGGGTGGGGAAAAAACGGATCCTGCTAATTGAATGCTTACTTGCCATGGCTGTCCCGACCGCCAATAGGCCCAGTGCAGTGCAGGCAGTGCAGCAACCTGCTCTGCCAGATAAAACAGGGCAAAACCCAAACCGCGAGTGTCGCGCTCCGCGGAAAGCGCTCAACCGCTCGGGAGCGGAGCGAGAAGAACCGCGGACGATCCTACGAAGCTCCTTATAGACATGGGCGGAGAGATCTGCCAGCGTGGTCATCGCCCATTGGCAACCTCACCTTCGCAAGTCTGAACTGGAGCTGCTGTGAATGCTGTGTTCTTGTTCAGCCTCTTCGTCCAACTGACTGGACTGATCCTATACCTTACCAAGTGTCCCTGAGTCAAAACAAGTGAAAGTTGAATAAACAGGGTAGCTCAAATTCTGAACATGACAGAGGTTGCAGGAGTGGAGTTTTAAATATCTATTACACTGACAAATATGCAGTTCCTGTTCTTGTACATGTTACTGTATACTGTATATTGTAAATCTGTATCAACCAATATCAACCATACAAACAAAACAAAAGAACCCAGCCTGTCCAGTCGTGATGGGCACCACTGACAGGAGGCAAGGCGATGCAAAACTTTTGGCCCCGGTGGGTTGCGTTGCGCTGCGCAAACACTTCAGGCTTCTCCTAATTTTGAGTCAAACAGAATGCGATGAACAAGCTCCACCCCATGTGTTCATTAATCCAAGCAACCTCAGTGCTGTTTCCTCTCTCTTCCGGTTGCTATAACTACTTTGCATGAAAGGCCTCGTGAGTTACCAAGTGTCGAATCTGCATCTGGGGTATGCTGTATGAGCTCAGGTTCGTGAGAGTCCCACAAAGCTTGAGCCAAGCTAGTCGCAGCTTGCACACGCATGCCTGACTTTTGCAGAATGAAAAGAAAGACCCCACACACACACGTTGCACTTCATTCAAGTTTGGACGCCTTCGCAACATGTTGTTTGAATTCAGGATTCAGGATTGAAATAGGCTCTCTATGGCTCTCTTGTTTCAATGCACACAAGTTGATAGCTCATCCCCAAACATTGGTCTGGATCCTGAATTGTAGCGCTGGCAAAATCGTCATGATGGGTATGCAGCCAGCAGCAGTTCTTCCAGGGAGAAAAGCAGGCAGAACTGGCGATCCAGAGTGTAGAACGATCCGAGGCGATGGGATGAAAATGATAAAATCCTAACATTCTGAATCCCTATACTTATAGACAGCCACACGTTGCTTCCTTGCTTCTTTTTCGGTGCAACTGCCGCAGTGTCGCCCACTGCGGCGCCAAGCGGGCTGCTTCTGGTGTGTCCATCAAAGCAAGCCGCTTGAGGAGTGCAAGTGCCTGGGCGAGGTCTCTGGGCAACCCATCCTCTGCAAGGTAAGGGGAATGGCTCGAACGACATCTGTTTCGCTTCTGTCCAACTCCAAACCAGCTGATTTGCTGAGAGGTCCACGATACGAGCGCAACCAAAACTTGTGGGTTGACAATACAAAACCCTGATTCAATCCCTTTCCCTGCTTCACCTCCTCCAGCTGCACGAGCTCTGGTCGCACCTGCACCAGGCAGAAGAAGAAAAGCAGCGGCATGCACCCAGAAGTTTATCCATTTACAAAGTGTTAGCAAACAAGATGGGCTGCACCCTCACACGTGCACCTCCAAACTTCGATGTAGTCCGATCATGTCCGATCTACTACATGGTGCAAGTGCGCGCATTGTCTTGCAGTGCACACTTGAGCTTCAGCCAATACGTATGATTAAACCATATTAAACCTCCATGTCCTATCAAGTTCTTACGCCGGTGCTTGCGCGTTGCTTACGCAACCACACTTTTAGCTTACGCGAGGCTTTGGTTAACAAAAGTCTTACACAAAGTTTATGCCATGACACAATTATGATTCCGAAAGGTTCCCCCGAAGGATTTGCTTACGCAGCAATACATTTTGCTCTTCATGTTCTAGTAAAAAACAGTACTTACGCAAGCCTTACGCAACAAGTGTGAACAACATGGAGCTTACGCAACCTTTCGCAACACAATGTTTTTCTTACGCCACAGATTGATATGACATAGATGCTTAATGGAGTGTCAAGGGAAGTCTTGGCTATTGCTCACTTGTTGATGCTGTCAAGGGTGTCAGCACACACACACACTCGCGAAATTGCGTACTGACTGATTGCGGCTTGCCACACGCCCACCTACGTGAAAAACCCAAGACACCAGGAGGAAGCACGCGTAAGGTGGTCCGACCAGTCCGGGTCACAAGTAAAGTTCACGAGCTGTGAGTGTTGAGGACTCCAAAGTTCCAAGGTCAAAGTTTGTATATCACAAAGCTTAACCATCAAAAGCTCGTGACTGCAGTGAAGGAACCGACGCAAAGGCTGGAAGCTTGTTCTAATTACAAACATGGCCCGACAGGTGAAACTCTGCTGCTGGTACGTCGGAGTGATCAGCTTCGATATCCTCCCAAGCTCATGAGTAGCTTCGTTGGCAGTAGACTCATCATGAGTGGGCTACTGCCCCCTGCTTGAAACATAAGAAAACAAGGAAATCTTACCGACTGGCAACCTCTGAGTCCAAGCTGTACACACTCTGACATTGGTTTTCAGTTAACTCAATTCCCAGGAAAAAAGGAATGAGGGAAACGCAAGGTGAAAAAGTCGGCGCAATTGTATTGTTGAACAAAGTTTGATGCATGACTGCAGAACTCGGCCGCGGTGAACTCAGCGCAGAGAAAAGGGTTTGGGGGAGGTATCGTGAGGAAAAACCATGAATCAACCCGAGAACAGTGGAGTCACAGCTTGTGCAAAAGTTTCTTCAGCAGGTACACAGATTGGCGTCCCAATCTGCTTCACGGAATGTTCACAGCTGTCTTTGTTGGGAGCAGAACTGTGGATTCCCTGCTGCCCCCTGCTTGGAAACATCAGAACCCTTAGGGACAGGGGTTGACACACACACGGTGCCTTTCGGCGCTCGCGCGGTGAACCTGAATAGATACCTCAAAAGCCTTAGAAACAAAAGAAAGAAACACAGAAAGAGCAGCGCTAAGAGGGCAAGAGAGAAAGATAGGAGTAGAAAAAAGGTGAATACTTAGCCCTTGACTGGGGCAGGGAAACGAGCCTCAAGAACAACCTAAAAAGCCTGAGAGAAAGCCCAAGAAACGACCGAAAGCGTAAGAAAGAAAGGGGGGGGGCAGGGAGGGGGTGTATGTAGCATGTGTGTGTCCATGTGTGTGTATGACTACTTAGCACTCTAGAGTTACTGACTACTTAGCAGAAGCGAATTAAGTGCAATAGTTAGGGAGCGGGACTTTAGTCTTAGACCGCCCGGGTAGAGAAGACAAGAACAGGAACAAGAAAGGGAAAGGCACCGACACACAAGTGTGTCGAGTACCATTTCCCTGCGCTGCCCTAATTAGGTAGGGAGTAGAACTCGGCGGGGGGGGGGTTGGGAAAACATGCCTGGCCTCGAGTGGAAGTGAATTCCGTTTTTTAGCCCGGCGGCTGTGGTAGTATGTCGTGAATCGTGAAAGCCCGACGGCTCTTAAAGCAGTTAATCCAGTGGTGAGACGAAGGCTGTTATGAAAATCCAAGGAGTGGTGGACAGAATAAGTCGGTTACACAATTTCCTGTATGGCTTCGGCGCCCCTGTCACGGGGATCACACCCAGCACCCAAGTGGGACGGCTGAGCGGTTCACACTCTGACATTGGTTTTCAGTTAACTCAATTCCCAGGAGAAAAGGAATGAGGGAAACGCAGGGTGAAAAAGTCGGCGCAATTGTATTGCTGAACAAAGTTTGATGCATGACTGCAGAACTCGGCCGCGGTGAACTCAGCGCAGAGAAAAGGGTTTTGGGGGAGGTATCGTGAGGAAAAACCATGAATCAAACCGAGAACAGTGGAGTCACAGCTTGTGCAAAAGTTTCTTCAGCAGGTACACAGATTGGCGTCCCAATCTGCTTCACGGAATGTCCACAGCTGTCTTCGTTGGCAGCAGAACTGTGGATTCCCTGCTGCCCCCTGCTTGGAAACATCAGAACCCTTAGGGACAGGGGTTGACACACACACACACACACCAACTTTAAGCACAGGAACCTTGCTACCTGTTTTCTTGCAATAATCTCATGTAGCCTTCAGAAAACATAAATCTGTTGTTCGGTTCACTGCCACCCTGGTCTGAAGGTGCCACAGCACCATCAAGTTTCCAAGTTCTCAGCCGACTTGCAAGGATTAGCTGACTCATCTGGGGAGTCGGAAATTTGCTTGAGGCTAATGCTGAAAAACGGCATCAATGCAACTACAGCAATGCGAAAGTATGCAAAAGCATGCAAAAGCTAAGTATGCAAATTGTGCAAGGAATGCGCACGAACACAGCTGCATCACCAAAAGACTGCATGTGCATGCATATGTGGCAATCCATTCCTGTATCCACATCAAAGAAGGCCAAAACAATCCTGAAGCTTCAGGCCAAACACGTGACAACCGGTTTCAACCGGCTTCTCTTCGGCATTCCGGTGTCGTGCCTGTGCGGACAACAGCAGCGCCGCAAGTGTACCTTTCAACCCAAAAGCTTCCGAAGTGGTTCGCTTCGTGACGTGCCCAGAGGAGCTGAAACCATGCTGAAAAAAGGAAAACAAACGAAACACGGTTCGGTGTGTTCAAATGGTGCTCCGTGCAATGGCTTTTCGGAGCCTTAAATTTAGAGTTGTCCTCTGCCAATGCAATCACTGGGTGAAAAAAAATATGGCTTAACGAGTCAAACGTTTGTTTCTGTGATGCCAAGATGGCATTTCCTTCGATGTCAATTGTAGGAAGTGATGTTGCCTGACTTTCACGACTCTTCGTTCTCATAGACGCATCCAAAAACAAGAGCCTCCTTGATCTGAGCCAACTCAGTGGCGATTGGCTTAACATTCAACAAAGGTCCTATCTTCAATGCAGCCTCAGGTTACTCTTGATGACCTCAATACAGCTGGGGCATCGCTTCAGCGCAGCGCGCAGCCGTGGCAACGGAGCTTTCTCCGTGGCGCCGAACTGCGAAGCAGCGCAGCGAGTTGCAGTGCAGTAGGAGAGTCATTGCAGCTTCTTCAGAATGCTTCAAAACTGAAAGAATCGAAAGCGCGATGTGAGTTCCATCACCAGTGCCAAGTCCATTGTAGCTAGTATTTGTATTCAATCAATGCTACAATGTATGATCTGAAACTATATGCCTACAAAGTGGCAATCTTACAAATGTCACACCGTTCAGCTAATCTGCCCAAGGGGAGTTCTGACCAAAGTTTATCTTTGCATTACAATCATACACAATTCTGCAAAGTGCGCATGTTTGCTCGTCCACACCTGCATAGCCAGCATCTCCATGTTGCTTAGTACCTCACGTGGTCGGGAACACATATAGGATATGATAGCTTCGATGTCAGCACTCTGCAACAGTTTACCTTTGGCCAAAATTCCCAAACAAACCCGACCACTACGACAAAAAGGAGCAGTGAGTAGTGAGTAGAGGATTCGATACAGAATCCTTACAGCAACCCAGACAACAGCAGCCCACTCAAGCAACTCTTTGTGACTGCTCAGAACCCCCTTTGCTGCCAAGTTGCCAACATGGCATACCAATGAGGCGACTGCCCCAAGGAACTCCCAACAACCTCGAGCGCATCAAATCAGTTTCTTTCAGTGTCTCTTCTTTCTTTGCACTTTTTTGTCTCTTTGTTGTATATTTATATATATATATACAAATATATAAACCTCGAGACTTGAGACCTTTATTTCGTTGTTCTTGTTTTCTTCCTTTCAGTTTTCAAGAAGGACTCGAGTTTCCCTCAAGGCTTGATTGTAACCTCAAGATTCCCACCTGATGCTCCAATGCATCCCTCAGCTCTTGTAGCTCACGTGAAGATATGATGAGCTGCACCTGAAGGCCGGCGCGAGCTGCACGTTCCGATGTTCGGCACGGCGTGACCAGGACGACATGGACACCCGGCAGGCGGCCTGCTGATCGGCACTGCCCTCATCGGACTTGCCCATAAGCCACTGCAGACTTGCGAGAGCATCCCTGGGCGCTCAAATCTCACATGAATTGTAGGAGCAATGGCAAAGGTAAATCAGAATGCAAGCATAACGATTTGACTCGAACGTAAACGTCAGATCATTCTTCAATAACCCCACTGTCACACTTTGTGGGTAGATGTAGATGTAGATTCGGGAGGCTTTAATAGTCAGCGCAGTGACTTCCAAAAATAATGTCTCCTTGTGTATTATCGCAATGATCTTCACATGAATTAGCGCTGTGTCTTGGGGAAAAGACTTGCAAAACCCCATTCCCGCAAAATATACAGACCTACAGACATAGGTTTGCCACATTGCACGTATATAAATGAATGTACAGAACTGTGTTAGGAGTTTGCAAGTGTTACAAACAGGATTTGTTATAGTATGTTTGTCATGCTTGTTTTCGGACAGGGTGTCGGATGAGGTACGAATAGTGAACAGTATGAGCATTGTGCCCAAACATGCATTGAATACATTTTCCTACATATGGGCATGGGAAAGGTTGTATCAACATCATGTTGGGACATAGTCATTGACAAAAGCATTGAAAAAGCAGCGAGAAAGAGAGAGAGAGAGAGGGGGGCGCGGGAAAGAAAGCAGCAGCACCCTTCATCCGCAAGCAACCTCCGCTCAAAGACTACATGAGACTTAAGGCTTTCGACTCTTACTCTAGCAAAAGAGATTCCTCTGTGGAGGTATTGGGATTTCCTCAACTCCTTAGTGCAAAAATAAGTCTCATGCCAGAGCAAGAATCGAGGCCCGCAAAACGGTCAGGCAACCAAAAATCAAAGCACATCACCAAAATAGAACAAGCACACTGAAAAAAACACCAGCAAACACTAAGGTAATTGGTAATTAGGGAGATTGCAGGCCAGCATTCAATCTTGGCAAAAACAATTCAGATACCCCAAAATCAAATCCAAAGCTCCACCAGTCCAAACCAGCAATGTTCATCCGCCTCAAAAAAAGACCTGCTCTCCACACCGTCTAAGAAAACGTCAAACATCGTTGTTTATATGGTCTGTTCTTTTGCTGGCAAAGTTGCAAACGTCCAAACATCAAGAAGCTAAACACCAGCTGGACGCAACATCAGCAAGAACATACACCATTTATCAATTGGTCAAAAACATATCAATTTCCACGACTGGGAGCCACAAACTCCATACATACTGCTTAGCTGCTTATGACTTCGTACCCGCTCTGACTTCACCACAGTGTAGCAAGCAAAAAACGACACTTTCGGCAAGAAAATGGAAGACCCGGGTGAACCATCAGTCTGGCTTCGCCCGGCTCAAAACCACGAAAAACGTCTGTTTTCGAGAAGCGGCTGTACTCTCTGTGCTCCCATTCCCTCAGGGGGCATAAAGAAATGCCTCGGTGAAATCACCAGTTCTATCTAGGCCTTCGCTTGACGGTGTTTTGGAAAAGGGTCAGAATCAATGCAAAATCATCTTGAAAAGCATTGAAAATTCAGGCAGCAATCAGCACTGGTTCGCAGTTCTCCCTCAATCCCAACAAACCTGGATGTTTAGCTACTTGAAAGTATAGCACACAATGATTGCTAGCCCCATAGGTCCAGGAAACGCACCTGTGTTATGTACGGCAAAATACATTCTGATGTGCTCAAAACAGGCGAAGCTGAATTGTCCAAGCAGCTTGCACTGCGCACGTGGTCCTCTGTCGCACACCGCCAGTGGGACTTTTGGTGTGCTAGGTTCCACTGGAGCAGCGTAAAACCACCTCAACAATAACAGCACCGACAGTCATAAACGGGCGATGCCGGAGTGATTTTGATAAATCGTCGGCTCTGATCCGAGCCACAAACATGAATGGCATAGTTGAACCATACTCACGCTTTTGGCAGAACAACCTCCAGTGAAAGAAAAAGCAACCTGTCGGTAGTACTACTGGAGCCGGTGCAATCCTTGCAGTCTGTTGCTCAGTAAGTATCAATGGTGGCAGCCTTCAGCTCGAGAAAACGAGGCTTACACCTAGGGCCTCCAGGGCCTCCAGGGCCTCCAGGGCCTTTGGTCGACACCTATCCAAAAGCAAGGGACTTTTGCAGCACCACCTTCACTGGTGCCATTGAATCCAGCGCAGCAGCAAAATGCTCAGAGGAAAGAGAGCAACGACCTCGCAGCGTTGACGGAAATTTGCCCGTGGATCTTGGAGAAGTGAGGCAGCACAGAGCAAACAGAGAGGAAAATGAAATTATTCAGAAATCAAGACATCTCTTCTCAGGTTGTGTTTCATCGTGCATACTTCTGCGCCTTCCATCAGATTGCTGTACAGCACCAAGCCACCTGCTGTATTCAGGCTGCTCTCCAATGATGGCAAAGTAAACAAGGCTTTAAGCATGCTACAATCTCCAGGCAAGCTATTGTGTGCTGATCACCCTTGAAGCTATTACCGTCCCGGTCGTTATATTGACTTTGTATTGTAATCCATGATGATCGCATTTGAAGGTAGCTTCTCCGCATGCATCTGATTGCTGGGTGAATCTTCGAATTCTGAAGAAGTCGGTCCAAACCAATCGTGAAAATAGGAACAGGAAGCTACTTGTGCGTTTGTTCAAGATTAAGATATTTTACTTACTGCCACGTCAAGGCATCACGTGCAAACAAACGGAACTGACCTCGCGGCATGCGCATGCGTAGCCCGTAGTGGGGGAAGACAGTTGCGCCATCCGCCAAATCGTCCACACCAGTTTCTTGGAGCCGGTCACACAGGAAAGCCCTATGTTAGATCTGCAGTGCTTGCCACAACTGAATTGCTTTCTCTCCGTGGCGCCAGATGTTCTGACAGCGCTGCAAAGAGAAGTGGAGTTCCAACAATCTGAAAGCCAAATCAATACCTCGTTCGCAATTCAATGTCTGGCAACATTGCAAGACGAATTAATAGCATATGACTGAATTCAAGGATTGAAACATTTAAGGGTGGAACAAAAGAGACAAAACTGCTCCAACTAGTACTTTGGCTTCACACTCACACACACACACACCAATGTACACAAGTTTTGCATGCACTGACAGAGCTTGCCCATTTGTGTCGCTCAGGAAGGCCGCATGGAAAAAATCCGGCAACATGTCTTGTGGGCTGTAAGTCCTTTCTTCTTTTCTCTACCTTAAGACTCTTAGAGGCTCCTGGCATCGCTACTAGGAACAAGAAGCTACTAGGAACAAAGGGCATCGCTACTAGGAGCAAGGACGCTACTAGGGTCTAGAGGTCTAAGAGTCTAAGGTCAGGCCAGGAGCCCCTAGTAGACCATTCCTTAGACCTTTAGATCCTTCTTTCTTCCCTTCTCCTTCTTAGATCCCTGTAAAACCCTGCTTCCCGGACAATTACACTTCCACGTTGTTGCATCCGATGCACCCCATGAAGAGCACATGCAACATCGCAGTGCTGCGGGTCACGGCTGTGGGGAATGCGTGAAGAATGGCAATGCGTGTGACGCTGCCGACGGGGTGATTTTTCACAGACCCAGCCCCATCGGGCCTTGACTCAAGACAGCCCTCTTCGCCCCTCCTCCTTTCCCCCCACCAACTACGGTCGATCCAGCATTGTCTCATCCCGGTGCATCTGGCTATGTTGATCGATCCAGCAGCAGCATAGTCATCCAAGGTGCTGTGACATATCGATCGTTCTCAGGGTCTCCATGCTCCACATTGCAGTCTGTGTGCTTGAAATGCGCACGATAGCCAGGCTCGTACCTATGGCACACGTGTCAATTGAATCATCATGTCTACGCTCTTCAAGCAGAGTGCAGCTGTCTTGCCTCAAAATGTGCCAGGGATCAGAGTGGCTGGCCGGAAGGCCCAACTCCTCCAGGCGCATCTCCAAGTCATCCAAGACCTAAGTCAACCTAAGTCTCTACAACGATCATTCACTCAATGAGGTTCCTATATGTTTTGGGCAAATCCTATTATACATCTAATTACCAGCAACAGTGGATGATGATGGTTGGTAAAAGCCTTTCTTTTGGTAACTGTTTACCGACTGTTTCAGGCCATGGGACAGACCCGTTGCATATGTTCCATTATGTTCCTATCATTGTAGACGTTGCACGGAACAGGAAGCTTGCTACGAGTTGCTGCGTCTGTTCCTGTGGGCACAATCATGTCATTCACCCAAAGCTCCTGATCGGCTTCATCGCTGTGGGCACAGCCGTTTGGATCGCCGTCACTGGCGAAAGTTCAATCGTGGCTGTTCTGGAGCCGAACTCAAAAGTCAGCTTCTTGCTCCTGGTAGTAAGGCCAGGAGCCCCTAGTAGATGTTGAATCCAACTCTGATCGTGATCGTGGTCATTGGATCCTACAGATTTCTGGTGTGTTCAATGCTTTGGATCATTTGGAGTCAAGTCCTTCAAACTCAAAGGCAGCCACACAACCTTCAGCTTGTGGCGCGGAACTTGTCGTCACTTCGGGCTCCCAGCTCCATGCCAGATGGAGAAGAAGACACGACACACCGTGCTCCAGGTGCTCCTGGTTGGGCTGAGGAGGCAAAGCCCTGGAGTTGAGGAAGTTCATCACGTGCTGTGTCTCCAGGACAGAGGCAAAGCCTTGAATGGTCCACCTGCCCGCTTCTTGCATACAGGATGTCTGCTCAAAAATACAGGAGGCTTCGTGCAATTTTTCCAGTGACTTGTTAGTAACTTGTTAGTGACTTGTTAGTTACGATGCTGAACCAATGAAGGTGCAGGATCCCTGCACCAACCGAGAACAACTGACAACTGACAACTGTGACTCCCAACCAAGGAACAGGCTTAGCCCGCCCGGGAAGGCCATTTTTGTGCCATGCCACATTGGAAATCCCATTGGAGTTGCTTCAGGCTTTTGTTTGAGGCGTTCCTCCACACAAGGCCAATAGGAAGCTCCTGCGTTTCGTGCCGACCAAAAGCTCAACAAAGGGAGCTCTGGGCATCAACAGAAGCAATAATGACTCCTGCCGTCCTGCGACATAGCTACGCCGCAAGAAGCTTCTCCATGGTACATCGGGAAGCTCGGCCTCAAGTACCTTTGGGATTCAATCGACACCATTGGACTGCATTGGAAAGCCCTTCCTCTCGATCAATCGATACTTGTGACAGAAGGACGAAGTATTTCAATCGCTGCCGCCGTCCAAAGCAGAGCTCAAAGCTTCGAGCGTCGCTTTGCCCGCAGCCATTCGAGCAAGATAGAACCGACGAAGCCATGTCCACAAGGCTATTCTACAATCCAAAAGAAGTGCAACCCAGAAGATCGCCCAACAGCAAAGTACTGAATCTACAAATCAAAGTTGTTTCATGCCCTTCAACCAACTACTAAAAAAAGAACGACAGAAAACCTGTCGCTGCACGTCCAAGAACGTACCTCCGTGTTCGAAGGCTCCCCCTTCTCGGCACCACAAGCATAGATCTCAATAACTTCAGCGGTCACACGATCCTAGGCCAAGGTGATGCTCGGCATGTCAGTGGAAGTAGTAGCTAGTGGTAGCTAGTGGAAGAAGCAGCTAGTACCTGCAATATGGATCAATTGGTGTCACAAATGGAATGTGCCAGCTCTCCTGTGATCTTTCTGCCAGCTGTATCAAGCTGTGGAAACCAAAGGCAAGTCTTCTGTCTGCACAACTGGCTTGAAGCTCTGTATCTGCAAAATAGGAGAGCGATATCTGGCTCTGTTGCCCCACTCAAGTGCTGCCAGGTGTCCACCTCCTCAGCCACGGAGCTGCCCACAGATTTTGTTGGCTTTTGCTTGGTCAGCATCCTCCGGCGATAGGACAGGGGTAACACGCCCCACAGGGGTAACATGCCTTGATGTTGCTCTCCCGCAAACCTCAAAACACTTGAGAGAAGGGAGAAATTTAGAGCCGACAATCTAAAGGCCATCCAGTTTCCCATGCTACGGTTCAATCCCCGACTGGCTTTGGCAGCCTTTCAACTTGGAGATGTCCAGGAAAGGGGAAAAAAACAAAAAACACATATTTGTCGCCCGGGGCCATGCTGGCAAAAATAAGCTTCCTGTGCATCAGCTATCCGAAGTTATCTTCTGCTGGCAGGAAAACCTCGATAACCTCCCAGCGTGTGACCCCTTAGCCATTTAATTTAGATGCTAAATCTGGCAACCTTGCAACTTTGCTCGTTTGCAAAGCTTGAAACCTCCTCCTGTGAAATCTTTCGTCGCTAAGAGTCAAGCTCAACTCGCGCTGGTCAAAGGATTCGGCAACGCCAAGAACTTCCAGTTCAGAGAACAAGGTCTCAGTTCAGTTCGGCAAAAGTCCACAAGCTACTAGGAGCAAAGTGCATCGCTACTAGGAGCAAGAAGCTACTAGTAGCTCCTCGCATTACTACTAGGAACAAGAAGCTACTAGGAACAGAGGAAGGGATTTCCAATGCAGTCCAATGGTCTCGGTTCAGTTCGGCAAAAGTCCACCAGCAGATTCCTGCTGCTTGCTCTAATGTCTGATTGGATCTAGCACAAAGCGACGTTGGCTTTAGTTTTTCATGTGTGTGCATCCACATGTGTCTTCTTCAAGACTACAAAGCCACACCCTGACGTCTTCGACTTGTCTTGTTGGTGCGTTCTCCAAACAGATTGAGACAAACGATCGATCGTTAAACGTTCGCCTTCCAGGTGATACAGTAGCCTTCCACCTGGACTAGATCAAAAGGCTGTGTGCCATATCTATTCAAGCTTAAGAAGCATAAGTCACCATGCCAGCATCCGCCAAGCTTTGAAAGCCTCGTGGCATTCTTGCAAACGGAGGGTCATGTCATCAGTCCTCTACTGGTTGTAAGCAGAACTCAAAGAGTGGTCGGAATATGTGCGACCCTTGCTTCGCTTGACATATTGCATGTTCGAGATGATCCTTCATCCTAATTGTCCTCTATAGTTTCCTCGAAACAAGACAAAGTCGCATCTGTTCTGTCGCAGGCACATTTGCTCCATCCTTCAACGCCGATTACATAAAGGTCATCAAGGAACCTGACGACAAGTATACAAAGATGTAGTGCCATGATTCACTAACACATGCACCGTGATCTCTCAACAATACGTTGCTCACTCCAGCTGCAATTTTACCTTGTCAACAAAATCTATGGTCTCGGAAGGATACAGCTTACCGCCTTGAGAAAAAGAAATGATGAAAAAAGGACAAGGACCCCAAAAGAAAGCCTTGGAGCCAGTCGAACCACCAGAGTTTGGACACGTCTAGTTGCGAGACAGGGTACGGATTGTTGAGGCCACCCCACCACATCACTCCTGGCTATCTTCAAACTTCAGAGCTTGGGATTGGCATTGAATGTGGCCAGAGTTCAACAACAAGACAAGAACATTGCAGCTCTTAGATTCAAAAAGAACATCTAGCAGATCTGATTGCAATGCTTTGCAGCCAAATGAAGAGGACACCAAGTTGATCTCCCCATCACTCCTCACCCACAAAATGTCTCTTCTGTCTATACTGAATCAGAAGAACTGCTTCCAAACCCTGAAATCGCTGTGCTCCATGCGGCCTCCAGGTCGAAGCATTCGGAGATAGTGCCGCCGGAAGATGGCACAAGGAGCGGCTGCAGACCCCAGATAGTTCATGGCGCCATTCACCACCACCACATCCTCTGATCTCCGTCCAACCAGTTCTCTTCTTTACAGCGAGGAGACGACAAAGAAGAGAATTATCGATGACCCTCGCATGGGATCTTTGTCCAATTGAAAGGGATTTCACATAGAAAATGTCTGGCCCACCTGGTTGTAGAGTGAACATGTATCTTTTTATGCAAAGCAGCAAAAGACTCGTCTGGATACGCATCCAGCTCCGCCACATTGCCTTTTGGGCGTTTGATGCGGCAGGAATCTTTCTTCGACCGGTGGCGGTTCACCATTTGGATGAAATGCGCAGAACTTCAAATTGTGTCACAGAATCTTTAAAACGATCCTTATGCTGAAAAGAGAGCAACACTCAAGGCAAAGCATACAGTTGGGTGATAATGATGTGAACACTCGAAACGATTGGCGTAGCGGAAGGTCTCACTCTGCAAAACCAAACACACTAATTACATGGCAGCCTTCTGTTTTACTTGCATGCTTGCCAAGTGATAGCACACTTGCCGTCTGTGTACAAAGATATAGCTGTTGCATCGTCATGGTGTACTCAAATCCAGACACCCTGAGCACCTTGCCGCAAGGAAATCTTAAGTCCAACCTGGCACGAAAAGAATCAGAAGGGCACGCTATGGGGCCTGCGTTTTGGAAACCTATATCTAGGTTTAGGTTGTCTGGAATTGCACTGATACGTTTTAGATAATTACTCAAAAATACAACCGAAATCACACGAAAAATAGAAAACTCTAAAAAAAACTTGGGACAACAAAATATACAATAAAACCAATAAAACAAATTCTCAGAGACTCTTTGGCAGGACTCAGATATGGAGCGCAGGGGCAGGCTATCACTTAAAAGATCTTAAGAAAACAAATGCTACAAAACCCTGTGTTTTACAGTGTTTTCTTGCCCTGGGAGTGCTGGGAACTGGGTCAAAACACTGTTGCTGAGTAGATAGCTAGATCTTTCTAAAAGTAATATCTAGGAATAAGCATTTCTAGATGTAAAAGCTTTTGTAAGAGCTTTTCTTGCAAAAGCGTTCCTCTAAAATTAGGGTGACAACCATTTCTATAGTTAAAAAGCCTTATCTAAAAGCTGTCATTGCAATAGTTGTCCCCTAGATCTTTATAATAGAAGCTATGTATATACATGTTTTTTACTTCAAAGGGCTTCCTCTAGATTCGTGGGAAAAATATTTCTATATTGAAAGAGCTTTTATTTCAGAAGCTTTCCTCTAGCTATCTGGGAATGATGACTTCTATATTTGAAAAGCTTTCTATAAAGCTTTCCAGGCTTTCCTCTGGATCTCTGAGAAAGTAGATTTACTGATATGTGTTTTTTCTTTCTCTGTCTAAAACATGTTTGCAGTATCAGAAACTTATGGAAAACCAAAACACAGGCCCCATGGCGTGCCGCTCTCAAAAGAATACGGTAGTTTCATACTGTGACACACTGTTACAGCCTTCCAAATTGACACCATAAACAATGGAAAAGGCAACGCGGCCCTGGTCCATCAGGCAAGTTCATTCAGGCAAGGAAGTGGCTGTTCCAAACGAGGATTTCCGAAACAATAGCAAGTAACAAGGGCATCGCTATTAGTAACAAGGGCATCGCTACTAGTAACAAGGGTCTCTTTTTAGTGTTCCTGATCTAGGTCGGTTCATACTTCTTCTCCAAGTAAGTATGGTTTTTTCAGAACCACCATCACACTAGGCCGACAGCAAAGATGCTCCAGCTTGCCTCGTTTGCCAGCTTCTCTGCGGCCTCCAAGTGGTGGTCAAAAAGATCCATCATGGTCACCTGCCCGAAGACAAACCTGTAGTTTCTAATGAAGCACAGAGTGAAGAGTGCTTCTATATAATCAAACAAAATGCTGACAAAGAAGGACAACATGTCGCCAAAGATTGTCGGGGCAAACATCGGAAACTCCACCTGGGCACCGAATGAGGCCAACCAAGCGGACCCTAAGCCACAACCTGAGAAGAAAAGGGAGGGCGAACACGGAAAGCTCCGGAACAATGGCACAGGTCCTCCCACCTCCGCCCAGCTCAAAGAGCTTGTCCGTCGGCTGCAAATTCAACATGGAGCCCATCATGCAGTATTTGCCTTGGAAAAATGCACCTTGCAGGTGTTAACGTTTGGCCCCACTCTCTGAAACGGAATTGCACTATGACAAGTCTTGATTCCATGAAGAAAAAGCATTCGTCCCACAAGCGAAACCAAGGTGCAAGCTGTGAGAGTTGCCATTGGGAACCTTGGAAATGGAACTGAAGAGCAGCCAATGTGTGTGAACCAAAGGCAGTTTGACTGTTGGAACTTCAAGAAAAGCCCAGCGAGGTTGAACCAAGTAGCGGATGGTAGTCCAAGAAAGGCACATCGCACGTCTCCGAGTAGAATTTGACGCTGGAGTCTTGGCTTATCAAAAATTTGGACGGAAATTTGGACGGAGAACAAACACCAGCTCCTGCCAGCACGTTGAAACATCTTCCACAAATCTACTGCCACCATCTTCCAACGTCTGAACAAATTGTTCAGCCAAGCCGTGCCATCAGTATGCATCTAGGCCAGTAAAAAATATATGCAGTCACATCCGAGCTGCTGTAGAGTTTGGCGAGGTAGCCTGGAGTCTGAGACAAACCGAAATTTCAGGAGGCTGAGTGACCCAAGCAGGCCCACGCTGTGTACTTTCTTGAAGGCTACCCGCATCATATGCTCAGCGGCTCAGCGCTTCCTTGAATAGTCCAAGATACTTCGGAGAAAAAGTCACAGAGTCTGACAGTCGCTATCTTTTTCAATCGCGTGCACACATGGTACTTGCTCTTCAGTTCATCGAGCAGACCACATTATGGCTGCTTTGCCGAAAGGGGGTCAGTTTCATGACTTCAGTCCCGGGAGAAACAACAGGCCTATCCGCCACATCTAAGGTTGCCTCGCCTCAACGTGGTGTGTGGCATGTGTGACCACCTGCGACATGTGTCATACTATGCTTCTTCAATGCTTCGTGGCGGCCTCGTGGCCTTGGCATTGGCTTCTGGGCTGAGTGCCGCTGGGTTGGGAGAACTTGGAGAGTTTTAATTGAACGACATAAAAACGATGCAGAACGACATAAAAACAAGTCTCCTTATGATTCAGTACATCCAACCTCCTTTGTACCCAACCCACAGCCGCCTCATTGGGCGCCCAGAGCTTTCTTTTCAGGTGCTGCTTCGATCTGAAAACAACGGTTTTTGGCAAGGCCAACGGTTTTCCTTGTGGAATGTCATGGAGCTGGTTGTATCATCTGCTTTCAGCACCAACTGTATACATCTCACATCAAATCAGATGCTACGGGTTCGCTGGGTTCCACTGCAGGCAGGGTTGCCGGTCCTTTCACACGATAGTAGGTCACGGCAGCGGGACGTGGAGGCGTCACCACCTGCGTCACTGGTGGTGGGCTCTGTGCTCGCAGCAAGGGTGCGGCTGGTGCCGGACTCTGAGCTCGTGGGGCGGCTGCCAAAGCCGACTCTTCATCTGAGGACTCGAGCTCCACAGCACGTGGTTTTGATTGCTTCTGTTTGCGGCATAGGAACAAAAAGAGGCCGAAGCAAAGGCATAAAGCCAACAGCGCAGCCAATAGCAGAAGCCACATGTAATTAGGCCCACTTGGCCTGCAAGGCATGTAGTGCACCATTTCAGTCCCCGATTTGGAAAACAAGGAAATGCTGAAATCTGTGTATTGCTGGACAATCGAATCCGCACAAATTCGTCCCCGGCCTGGGCCTGTGAACCTCAGTCTCGGGCTTCGGCCTTGGTCAGTGATGGCTTGGGATCTTCCGCCTTTCACACTTGGTTTCGGTCGTACAAAGGCTACGCATTTTTGCAAAAAAGTGGAACATGTGTTGCTCAAAACCCTTACAGGGCCTGAGGAGGGGTTCCGATGAGAACGTGTTCAAGATTGGGTGCGGGAATGGTGAGACGTGCGAAGGAACAGCCTGTCAGTCTATCGCTGCCAAGACATGTAGCCCGGAGACGGTGCTACGCTACGCAGCAGGTTGGTGTTTGGTTTCGAGAAGACCAGGGCCAGGTGGGTCCTCATTTGGGTTATGTCTCTTTGTTTCGGGCATGTGCAAGGAGGGAGTCCTGTTTGGCTGTGTTTGAGGCACGCATCCGGTGCGCTGCCAAATGCTCAGAAGATTGCTCTGTCAATCATGTGTCTTGCACTTTCTTTCTTGATTCCTCAAGATCAGCCGCAACAACGACTGGACCACTGGACCAGCTAAATCGCAACCAATGGCGTCAGCCAATTGATGAGAAAAACTGATGCGTCAAAGCAGTGTGCCAACTAAAGTATTATAAGTCGAAAAAGAATGTTCACCCCGAGTCGCCCTAGTCGTTTTTGATTGCTTGCAGCTTCCTCTGCATACTACACTCTACTTCTCTCTGGGCAGAGTCTGGTCAGGCAGGAACCTAAATTGCAGCGAGGCCTATGGGCAAAGGGTCGTTCCGCAACAGGGTTGTAGTTTGGTCAGGCCGTACTCGCAAGCGGGGCTCTACTACAAAGCTCAAGGACTCGGCAGCAACTAGAACCCAACGGCACTTGACCTTCTTTCTTGTACGAGCTTGCCTCTTTGCCATGATGAATTGCGGTAGCCTAGTTATGAAACACGGCAGGTGCTGACTGCTCAAGCCCTTAAGGTCTTTTGTTCGTCGTTGTGGATCTCCGCACTTCAATGCTAATGCACTCACAAGGCCTAGTTTTATGCTTGCTATGCTGCCATGGCGGATTGACCGAACTTTGTAGTTTGGTTGCAAAACGACGCCTGCTGTCACCTGCCTCGTGCAGGCTTAACTGCTGTGTCACAGTGGAGTGTTGTGTTTGCCCTGGCTGTCCAGACTTGCCACCAACCTCCCAAAGGTTTTGACTGCCAAGTGGCAGCGCAACCACCCATATACAGTAGACTCTTCTTTGTGAATTTGAAGGCAAAAAGCCATACAAGAAGCTCTTGGAATGGGCCCTTTGAACTGCCGTCGAAAGGGAGGCAACACTGTGAGATGTTCAAAAGGAATTCGAGCACAAGCGAACTGACCAAGACATCCAAATGAGGAATAAGGAGTGCACAAAAAATAGACTCAGCAGTGCAAACTCCCTGCAAAAAGACACCTTAATACCTATATTCGCAAACAATCCGTTCAACATCTAAAGCTGCATGATAAGTTGCACAACCACAATGGGGGTCTCGGGAATCTTGCAGTACTTTCTGCCCGTGAGCGCTTCCACGTCTGAGTGATTGGTGCCATACTTCATATTTCTGAAAAGCCAACATCCCCCAGGTGGGTCGGTGTTGTTCTTGTAGCTGTAGGCCTCGCAGCTTTCACTGTCGTCACAAGCAACTTGGCAATCCTGCCATTTTGCGAGGTACATCTTTGGTGCAGGAAGCATTGGATCCGTGTATAGAACATCTGGTGCTCTGCAGTCCAAAGCCACCTGACCCATCTCTCCAATTGGTGCGGGGGCAGCGAGCAAATCGGATTCCTTCGTCCAAGGGCACTCATCCTGACCACTGATGGCCTGAGGGTCTCGGTGCTTCTTCGTAAAGTTGTGGCTGGGTAGTAGCCAGCAGCCACCATTTGGAGCTGTGTCCTACATTGTTTCCACTGTCATGATTCCATGGTGGCTTGAAATGTCGTGCTGTAACATGCCCTCCCCAGCTCCCTCCCAAGTCCTGCTTCCAAGTGAAATGCTTGCAATTCGCATGTGTGTTGCACTTCTGCTGGCATTCCAGCCATGTGGCCGTCCACAAATGAGGATCTGGTAGAATCTTGTCATCATAAATTACACCCGGGTTAGGGCAAATCTCTTCCGAATGTGATCTTGCAGACAAACACTCTTGCGAGCCACTCACCGCAAAAGCATCATCCACCATGATCTTCTGTTCCTTACCGGATCATTGAAACAACGGAGAAGGGCAGTTGAGATCTGCGAGTCATGGTTCAATGACCGGAGACTTACTTCAAGGATTGTAGAAAGTTGTGAGCAATACATTAAAGACCATTAAAAGACCAAAATGAAAGAATTGCAAGGAAAGACTCTGTTAGGAGCCAACACTGAGCAAATGGGAAGGTGTTGACCTTGAAAGTAAAGAAGTTGCAATTGTCCGTCTTCTCGCAGAGCCCAGCGCAATCTGACCATGCTTTGATGTCCCGGCCGTCATACAATCGCTTTGACGGATCCTGGAGCGACACGTGGACACCGTCTGGACTGCACAGAAGCTACGTTCGTAGCTTTTTCCTGCTACGTTCGTAAAGTTGTACATGTGATAGTGTGATATGTTTGGACTCTTGGTGTTTGCCAACAACAGTAGCAGAGGAACTCTGAGAATGCCAAAAATGTTTTTTCTGTGTCTTGCGTACGTCTCCTCGTACACCTTGCCAATCATAAGGCATTCATGGGCAAGCGCCTGCACAAAGGTGGCCAGCAACAGCCACTCCCGCAGCGCCATCGCGTAGGTCATCACAGCTCTCCAAGAGCCAGAGCTATCACGGACGGTTTGCACACACTGATAGAGGTCACAGGATAGAGGTCCGAGGCTTTCCCACTCCATACGTGTCTCAGGCATTGAAGCATTAAATCTATATATATATATATAAAGATTATATAGATGTCATTTGTTATATTTGTTCATAAGAATCAAAAATTGCTCGATTTGAAACATTGGTTTCACTCTGTTACACCAGGAGTCTCAACTCTGTTACACTAGGAGTCTCGACTCTGTTACACTAGGAGCCCTCGCTGCCCTTGCTCCACCTCGCGGAACCCAGCGTGTGGCAGCACGCACTTCCGGTGCTTCGAAGTGTCTGGTCGTCCGCCGATGCAACTCCTTCGGTTCGGAGGCTTCAAGGGGCTTTAGACATGTAGGTTCAATATATGGTTCAACATATAGGTTGCATTTATGATTTGTGACATCATCGAAGCCATAGTTCCTGGTGACAAGTGAAGACTTTAGTGACAATATTAAAATGAATCGGCATACCTAAGAAGATTCACAAATCTCAGGATGATTCACACGGGTACCATAAGAGCCGGGTTTGTCAGTCTGCCTGCAAGGACACTGCGGACTTGCTGCATGGCAACACACCTATACTAGACTGAGCAGTCTTCCTAGTCCCAGCCTCTGGTAGTTCCTTCCACAAGCCTCGCAGGACTTGACTCGTTGATCCCTTTGACAACTCGTAGCGAAATTTCACGCGATTTGTCAAAGAGCGCCCGCCTTCAACTCGGCAACCGCTCATCGAGTCTCCCTGGATCTTCTCGAAACCCTCCAGGGGCCCACAAATGCCGGTGTCCGGTATTGCTGGTCTGATCGGATTTTCATATCAGATGTTCATAAGACTATTCATATGCTGGAAAACGTAGCTGCCTTCTTGAAGCTGCCTTTAATGCGTGTGTTCAAGGCCTTTTGGCCTTGATGCGAATGTGTTGCTGGTTGGCATCTCGCGTACATGCATGGGAGAGTGCTTCTGGAGGCCAAAACAACGTCTTTTTGGGGCCTATAGTGTCAGAGCTTCATCGTCTGCGTTGAAGCGTCACAAACTCCCAGACGTGGATAGCCTCTTTTCCACGGCTGGTGCACCTCCGGTGCACCTCCACTTCACCTGGCACAACAGGCGAAGAGGCGAACCAGGCGAACCTCTCTCCACACCGGCTCAGTGAGAGAGCGAAGAGGATTCCTTGGCTTTTTGACCTTCTGACAGCCGTCGGTCGAACCGGTAGCCTTCAAGCTAGAGGATGCTAGAGGATGCTAGAGGATGCGAAGATGTGCAGTCGAAATAAGCTGCCTCGAGTGTGGCTGGCGAGACATACCCACAGCTGGTTCATCAGTGACTGGCGAGACTCCAGACACAAGTGAAATAGAAAAGGACGCCGACGGCGACAACAACTGGCCAACCCTGAGAAGATGTATATAGGTCATATGACGTCATATGCCTCAAAGGTCCCAAGAAGATTGGTTATTCCCAGCACATCTGGTTGCACCTATTCTCGGTCGCACCACATTGGAATCCTTGATCCGGCCGCCTTAGGTGCCGCAAATCAGGTTCACTGAAAAGCCTACTATATAAACGGAATTTCTTCAGCCTGATTGGCACTGATTAGCCCAAAATAACGGCCCGAAAAAACGTCTAGTCTAGCTTGGAAACATATCCAAGACCTTCAACAGTACCTTCCAACCCGTTTTGAATGCAATCATAGCGTGCAGTGTCCACTCTATGGAAACACCACGTGCAACGATTTTTTGTCGAATCTCTCGTGCTCTCCATCTCAGGTTCAATGGCCCAAGGTGCAGAACTTCTCCACTTGAAAGCCAAGACGATGCCAGGTTGTCATCAGGTGGTCGGAGGCTGCCTGTAGCAAGTCCTGTTTCAGCATTGTTTGTCCAGTCCAAATCCTCTGGCGCATGTGATATACTGCGCCTACCTTGCTGCACAAGACTTACAAACATGTCTGGCTTGAACACCGGACTCTGCATTCGACAACGATTATATAATTCCTGAAGAACATCAAGTAGTGCAATGAGAGGTATCTGACCAATCATTTAAACTGAGAATGCGGGGAGGCAAATGAGCTCTTACACTTGCCTCATCAGTAGATGTAATTTAGAGGTGCAGTTAGGGTATCCAGTATCCGCAGCCCGCCTGTTCCGGCCATTTGCCCTCCCGTGTCCTTGTACGTCTCCTTGAACGGAATGGTGTTGTACAGCTCATGAAAGAATTGATGGTTCCTGCACGCCTGAAGGGCGCGGCGACTCCACATATTCTCAGCCGAGAAGAAGTGGATTCCGACAAACATGCCCAAGAAGGCTGGCTTCAAATACAGCCTATCCAACTTTAGCCAAACCAACATACTTTTGTCTGGTGTGCCATGTGTGCCATTCCTAGGCGTGCTGCCTCCGTGGCATTTCCATAAACGTCCGATGTTCGAGTCGTACGGGCCAAAAGTGAGAGATGTCGTTCTGCATTCAGCAGCATCCTGCACTCGTGGCACTCGGGATCTTTCTGGGTATTGCAAGTGCCAAGAGAAACATCGACAATGAGCAGCTTGCAAAGTGGTGCTATGTGCCGAAACGTTGCTATTGCAGCCAAAGAACTCCAAGGCAACAGCTTCTGGACAGGCTTGGATGTGTGTGTCCTAGGACAGCTCAGCAAGGCCGCGACAGGTCGCCTCTGTGTTGGGTGGCTGAGACTTTACGATGGTTCTTTTTTCTGAATTCCTAGTGGCTTGTTTCCAACAAAGGTCAAGCAACGAGAAGTCCAGAACCAGTCTTGGATCAAGCAACATCAGGACAGCAAAGCAACGTGGTCATCTCTTAGACTCTTAGCCATACTCTCCATGTCTTCCGCACACCGGGTCTAAGCTGAACAACCAACGTTTGCCATACTACTTCTAAAGATGTCACTGAGGGCCTTTCTGCATCTTCACGAAGTAAATGAGAGAAGGGGACCTCCTGTGGCTGTGGGAAGGCTCGATGACCCAAAAACTTGCATACAGAGCAGCAGCCACCACAAGAGGGCTTGTAGGGCTTGGGATTGGAGAATACTCTTCGAGTTCCTTTGACTTTTCCACCCATCCAAATTCTCAAGAAAGCAGGTATGTGAAGTTTGTGAAGTATCTCAGCTCTTGATTGGACTTTGTACTCATGGCCTGCTCAAGGAAATGAAGCGAACATATAGATGTTTTAGATCTGTGGCCACCTTCAATAAACATGACATGAAGAAACGATGCAGGAACTGCCGCTACCGGTGACATGTGAAAACCTGTGTTTCTGTCGGTTTGCTCCAAAAGATATGTCATTCCGTTGGCAAGAGTACGCACCTTTTCAGCTACAGCTTTGCAGTGGCCTCTGGATAGCCATTCACCGGGTCTTCGAACTCGTAGGGCTTGTAGCGATAGAGGTCGTTGCGAAACTCAGAGACAGCTTGAGGAGTGGAGGATTGAACAGTCGCTGACCCGGTCGGTGTGTCACTGCACTTCGAATCAGAGATGGTCGGTATTGGAGCTCTTCAATCTCTCTTCAACGGGTTAGCCAAAGCAAAATACTTGTTGAGTGCAAAAAGAGCATCCTCAGTTCCAGAGGAGATCATGCTCCGACTTTTGTTAACCTTAGACACTTGTATACATATATATATAGGATAACTGAAACAAGCAGGGATTTGATGTAGTTGAGTGCAGAGGGTCGATGTGCGGGTCGGGATGCAGATCGCTGACGCGCCTCGTGCGAATTACGGCGAAGGTGCGATACACGTCCCGTTGGATTCTCAAATGAAGCATGGACAGGCACGCAGCCTTTTGGACAGGCACAGCAATAGAATCACTTGTGGTAAACTGCAGCCGCTTCCATACTCGGTACAGTAGTACTTGTTGCATCTTACTGCAGACTGCTCAGCAAACTGTTGACCATTTCAATGCGACGGGAATAGAGTCCGAGTTTGCTTGCGGAGGCTTGCATGGATTTGCACGACGGGTTGACGCAGGGCGGGTTTGCGTGTGTAAAAAAGCCGGGCTTCCATGGTGCGCCGGTGGTCGTTGTTCATATGGTTGTCGTTGTTTTACATTGGTACGCACAAGCAAAACTCGCCTACACCTTTGTGCGTCGCTTCTCCTGAAACGGCTGCGCAAACGTCACTGGCCTGAGAGGGGCATCGTGCCTTCAGCGGACTCTGTGGGTTGGCCAGGACTGCGACCCTTAGGGGCCATAAAGTCAAAATATCTCATGAAACCAAGTTGAATCTCTTATGTGGTAGTTTTTGTAGGGTAGCGTCAGCCTTGTGGATACCAGCCTGTGTCAATTCCATCTGGACCATCCCTACTATCCTGGGCATATTGCTCAGCACAACCATCGATTTGGCTTACGTGCATCCAAGCGAGCTCTCACATACAGCGCACCATATGCTGCTGGAACCGCGACGCTCACTCAGGACACTGAATCTGATGAAACTAACTTGGCAAATTGTCCAGAGGAAATGACCCTCAGCGAGTTCGCTGCTCATCCAAGAGATATGTGCCTGTGCAGAAGGAGTTCACAACGAGAGGCACAACTAAACATGCGGCAGTCACCAATTTCTGTTGAAAAGGGGCAAGTGGAAAACCACCGCAAGAAATGTGCAAAAGTTTGCAGCAAAAGCATCCAGGAAGGAGGAGTGGCTGACACCATGAAAGGACTCCATTGATTGTCTGGGTCGATGCAACTAATCTGGCCTTTGGTGGTCCGTTGATCGGACCATTCATGCTGACACCTTGTGATTTGCAAGAACTCTGGACTCAGGTATGTGACGTCGCCAATGTGTTTTTTTTTCGTGTTGCCTTGTTCTTTGACGTCGCCAATGGGCAAGCTGGTGCATCCCCAAGCTTAGTAGAAAGGTGCATCGTTACTAGTAACAAGGACGCTACTAGTAGCTCCTGGCATTGCTACTAGTAACGAGAAGCTACTAGGTACTCAACAACTGCAACGCCGTGTGTGAACACACACTTTCAGCTGAT